GAATGCACATTGCTTGCTGAGATTCTACTTGCACTGCATTGTCCATTCAGTCCTTTTTATCACATTGCGGATCCTCGGTTTTGTATGTACATCGCCCAACTGGGTATGTAACAGTACCACATCAGAGTATGGGCCTCTCTCGACTACTCACCAAATGTGCAAAATGACAATGAATCTTACACTAGATCGTGGACAGATACAGAGCCATATTGTGTCTTTTGTGCAGGCCCTATGTCTATTTCTCTCCAGTAAATAGTCCGTGTTCTGAGTGTGTGCGTGTGTGTGTGTGTGTGTGTGTGTGTGTGTGTGTGTGTGTGTGTGTGAGAGAGAGAGAGAGAGAGAGAGAGAGAGAGAGAGAGAGAACAAGACTGGACTTATTCGGGATGACCGTATTTGTCCTTGTTGACCGAAAGATATTCTCTGTGGCTACAGAAATGACCTGGTATTAGGTGATATTACTGTGAAGTCCTTGATGAGTGCAAGAAAAAGGAAGGAAAAAAAGGTCCACCAGTCCTTGTGAGCCGCATCTGTTGATGACCAGGTCACAAGTTCCAATCCTTATGAGATTGGATGTACAAAACAATGTTGAAGGCTACGCCCTCCAGATGAACAAGTCATGAGCTTGAATACTGAGGAGATCGGATGTATAAAACTGTGTTAACGGCTACCCTCGTCAGGCATGCAGTGGTGGCAATAGCCAGGATTTTTTTTCTTTCTTTTTTAATTTTATAATACTTTTATTTACTATTTAGACCATTTCTCGATTTATGCGTGTCATCCTTGTGCAGGGCCCATCCTCATGTTCTCTGTATCGCTCCAATTTGAATGAACGTCTGGAAAGACAGTAGCCAGGAATTTCTTCTTTTGTTTTTCTTGTGCGTGTCATCTGTAGGGGTTGGTAATCTCTTCTCTGTATCCCCGCTCCCCCCCCCCTTTCTACCCCCCCTCCAAAAACAAAAAAAGAAAACACGTCTGTACGTCTGTATCACTCCAATCTTAACGAATCGTTACGAATGTCCTGATTACAAATGTTGCCTGCCATCCGGCACTTCCCTGTGTATGCTGAACCTGTCGTCTGTTTGTCCGTCAATGGCTATCTGTCAATTTAAAAGGTGTGGATTAGGCAGCGGTGGCCGTGGGCGGTTGGTAACATGAGTGGTGGAGCAAGACCGCCGTACCACTCTTGCCTGCCCCCCGGTCACCGGGTGTGAAGAATCGCGAGTGCATCTGGCCACCTTGAATGCCAAAGATGCAGCAAGGCCCACAGATAGGAGCGAGGGGTGGGGCCAGGCATTATGTTACATGCTGCGCCTGCACACGAGGGCCATTTTCCAGGCCCTGCGTCCCTCAGGCTGAAAGCCTGAAAAACAGGGGCCTACAAACAGGCCCCGCGACCATTCAGCTCGAAAGCCTGAAAAACAGGGGCCTACAGACCCTGTGTCGTTTCAGACTAAAAATGGCAGTAGCCTTTTTAGCCTGAAATGAAGGGCCATTTCCGGTCTGTCATCAGACCGGCCTGCCCTGAAACTCAGGCACCGAACCAGGGTCTTAGGAACAGGCTATTTTTGGCCTGTTCCCACGACAGCTGCAGCGCCAGCCCCTGGCTCAGTTTGGCATTGGCAAGAGCAGCCTCCTGGACTGCCCACCCTGCAACTGCAGGCAGTCGGAGGCAGTCAGGAGGCAGGCCGAGACAGTACATAGGGACTTCCCATGCACTTCACGGGGAGGCAGGAGGCAGTCAGTAGTCTTCAGGATTCGGCAGCAGCACTCTGGAGGGAGCGCTGCAGGAAGAGTAGTAGCGTTAGCATTAGTCTTCAGCGCTGGGCGCCAGTAGGTAACTGTAGTCGTCAGCGCTGGGCGCCAGTAGGTAACTGTAGTCTTCAGCGCTGGGCGCCATAGCTAGGATAGTACTAGAGAGAGAGAGATTGGGCGGAGGCCAGGAGTACCTACCTGCAGCGCCGTTGCTCCAGCTTTGTCTTCGAGGTACCTGCTGCACAGCGCCAACTTCACAGGTTAGTACCTGGCTCGTAAGAGAGAGAGTTCTTCTTCTTCCTCTTCTCAGTCCATCTCCCTCTCACCCTCTCATTATTTGACTTCACTGCATCAGCAGACTACGAGAGAAAGAGAGAGAGAGAGAGCTTGGTGACATTGGGTCCAGACTCGACTTTTGGGCTTCAGACATTTCGACGAGGGATTATTTGGGACTTGTGACAAAGACTTGGTGTTGACGACACTCCCATCTCTCCCCCTCTTCTTCATCTGATCCCCTCCTCTTCGTCTGTGTATGTCTGGACCTGGCGCTTCCTTCCTGTGTAATAGCGTCAGGCTCCTTCACACTTTGCGATGAGCATGATGTATGTTTGGTCTGCGTTGAAATATTGATTGGGCTAGTCATTATATTCTAGCGTTCCGCTTCGCTATCTTGCACAACGTGAAAGGGGTCAGTCCCGGTCAGGTCAGGATTTGTATCTAAGCCTTCCCTGCGCTATTCAGCACCATTTTGTATGTATCGGAATGCACATTGCTTGCTGAGATTCTACTTGCACTGCATTATCCATTCAGTCCTTTTTTATCACATTGCGGATCCTCGGTTATTATGTACATTGCCCGACTGGACATGTAACACATTGCCACTCCCTTAACCCCTCTCCGGGTCAGGTGTGAAGAACATGGTAGCCAGCTTGCATGCCAAAGATACACTCGCCATTTCAACGTCTGGCAAGTGATGCAGCAAGACCCATGTATGGCCATCCCCGCCTCTGCCCGTTCCCCCCTCAACGCTCAGGGCCATGCTTCGCTTCTTTCCTCGAAATGTGAGGAATGGAGAGTGTATCTTGGCATCTTTCAGGTTCTTTTTGAGTGATCGACACGTCATTCTTCACAGTTGGCGAGAGTAGAGGAAAGAGGGGACTCCAGGCCAGGCCCTCCGTATCAGATGATGGGATTTCGCAAAACAGCGGACGGGCAATAGTCCCTCCGAACACCACTGCACACCCCAGGCAAACAGAATGTACCCTGCAAGTGTCAGGAGGTAGTAAAACTCGCAATACCGCAGCAGCAGGGGAAGCAAGCCTACCTCCACGCGTCTTCTGCACTGCACTACACTGCACCACCCCAAGCTTTGCCGGACTGCCAGCAGTGCATTTTTTTCCTTTGTTGGGTTGCACCGCCAACCATTTTGGTCCTGTGGCACTGTTCCCCCAAAATCGGCGGATTGGCTCAATTTCAAGTCCGGGCGCTTCGCGTCGCTTTGCCGTCGCTTCGCGTCTGCTCTTAGAGCCTCTATGAATGTGCTTTTATGGCATGCTTTGTTATCTCTACTGTTGCCAGTTGAAGGTATAAGCCATACATATGCCCCTAGTGTCTCAAGTTTGCCTGGGTGATATGCTGGCGGCTTAAGCCCAGCCCGCCTGTATGTCTCACAATCACAGCCAAACTGTTCTGACATAGACTTGATTTGCCGGCGGCTTGTTGACAGAAAGATATTCTCTGTGGCTCTACGTGGGTGATATGCTGGCGGCTTGTTGACGGAACGATATTCTCTGTGGCTACTGGAATGACCCGGTATTAGGTGATACTACCGTGATTAGCGCAAGAAAAAGGAAGGATAAAAACTTAAAAAGGTCGCCGGTCCTAGTGAGCCGCATCTGTTGATGACCAGGTCAGATGTACAAAACAGTGTTGATATGCTGGCGGCTTAAGCCCGCCTGTACGCTTCACCATCACAGGCAAACTGTTCCGACACAGCCGTATGCGCACAGTGACTGCAATTTTCCTGGCTCGGACTGCTGCTGAATCGCAAAGCCTGGCGATGCCAGTCGAGTCGATTCTTTTTTTTTTTTATTTAATGCGTGGCACGCTGGAGAAAGTTGGCTCGGGGAAAAAGAGGCTTGGAAGTACTGGGGGCTCAAAGAATTTGGACCATTTTTTTGTGGATATGTGTGTGTCACCTCCTTGCATGGGGCCATGCCCGTCTCCTCTGTATGCCATCCTTGCACAGGAGCGGTTCCGATTTTGGTAGTCCCAAAGGATCAAGGGTACAGAAATGGAGCGAGGTCTTTTTTTCTGTGTGTGTGTTTGTGTGTCTGTGGGGGGAGGGGTGTGCTTGACAACAGACGTTGAAAAAGGTTGGTTTAACATTTCATTTTCTGTCACCAGGGAGTAGCTGTTCTTTTTGACTACGTATGTGCCCCCGATATGGTGTATGTTCATTGTTCGGTGTAAAACCTCAGATTCAGTTACTGTATACATACATCTGATATGGGCATGAAAACCTTTTTCGCCTGGTCATTTCATTCTGTTATATACACGGGCCCTGGTTTGCTGTCCTCTTTCTCCCTCTCTGAGTCTCTGCCTATGATGGTTCACCGGGCAAATTCTCTAAGGCGATGTATGACTTCAAATAAACTTCAAATAAACTATGTTCATCGTACAGTCGCGCTTTCAGCCTTTCACGTACTGTGTACGTTCCATATTCCTTTTTTTTTTTTTTTTTTTTTTTTTTTTTTTTTTTTTTTTGGTTTAG